TTAACTAATATATTTACAGAAATTGATTTAGGCGGGAATTGAGTTAGTATCGTGTCAAAATTTCATTAATCCATCTGTCAAAATTTCATTTATCCATCTGTCAGTACATTATTTGCCTAATGCCTATTTGTTTTTTGAAAAAATTTGATTTGATAAATTGAATATTTTTTAAATAGTTTTATCTAGATGTTAATTTGATTAATTGATCGTTAATTGGAAAATTTTGATTAATTGACGATTATTTGAGATGTTAATTTGTTGAATTAAGTATTAATTTGATGGATTTGATTGTTAATCTAATGTTTTTATATTTTTTAAAAAAATTTAATTTTTATAAATTAAATGTATTTTTATTTTTATTTTTATAAAAATCAGATAAAAATAATTTTTTTTTTTTATAAATCTTGATCCTTTGAATGCTGCTTAATCGCTACTTTGATTGCTGTTGGATCCTTGATTCCTACTGAAAGCAACTTGATCCCTTGATCGCAAACACTTGATCACAACTTCATCTCATGATTGCTACCTTGATCACTCTTGTTCGCAATCGCAACTTCATCCCATGATCGCTACCTTGATCGCTTTTGATGGCAAACACTTTATTGCTACTTGATCTCTTGGTCGCTAATATAATAGATTATGATATTAACCCAAAAGTGGTACTCTTAACCAAAAAAATATAGTAATCTTAACCAAAAAAGTGGCATTCTTAAACTAAACAACGGTAATGTTAACCAAATAAATTGTAATATTATCCAAATCAGTGGTACTCTAAACTAATATTAACAAAAAAAATTGTAATTTTAACATAAACAGTGATAATGTTAACTATAAAAATGACACTCTTAACCAAATAATGGTGATGTTAACAAAAAAAAGTGGTACTCCAAATAAAAATAATGGTAATGTTAACCAAAAAAGTGATACTCTTAACAAAAAAAATTGTAATCTTAACCCAAAAAGTGGTACGTTTAAATTAAACAACGGTAATGTTAACAAAAAAAATAGTAATATTATCCAAATTAGTGGTACTATTAACCACAATAGTGGTAATATTTATCAAAACAGTGTTAATCTTAATCAATAGAATTGTAATTTTAACCAAATAAATGGTACCTTAACAAAAAAAGTGTAATTTTAACCAAAAAAATGATAATGTTAACCTAATAAATGGTAATATTTACCAATTAACATGTAATGTTAACAAAAAAGATGTACACTTAACCAATAGAGTGGTAATATTAACCTAATCAATGGTAATGTTAACCAAATGAGTGATACTCTTAACAAACAGTGGTAATGTTAACCAAATGAGTGGTAATCTTAACCAAAACAGTGGTAATGTTTAAAAAAAAAAAATAGTACTCTTAACCAAAACAGTTGTTATGTTAACCAAAGGAGTGGTAACCAAAAAAGTGGTAATATTATCTAAAATAGTGGTATTTTTAACCAAATACTGGTAATGTTAAACCAAAAAAGTGTTAATATTAACCAAAATAGTGGTAATATTAGCCAAAAAAATGGTACTCTTAATCAAAACAGTGATAATGTTATCCAAAATAATAATACTCTTAACAAAAATAGTGGTAATTTTAACAAAAAAAGTGGTAATATTATCCAAAACAGTGATACTCTTAACCAAATCAGTGGTAATGTTAACAAAAAAAGTAATAATATTAATCAAAACAGTGGTAATGTTAAAAAAAAAATGGTACTCTTAACCAAAATAGTAGTAATATTAACAAAAAGAGTGGTACTCTTAACCAGAAAAGTGGTAATGTTAACTTAAAAAGTGGTAATGGTAACAAAAAAAGTGATACTCTCAACCAAAATAGTGGTAATATTAACCGAAAAAGTGGTACTTTTAACCAAAACAGTGGTAATATTAACAAAAAAAAATGGTAATATTAACAAAAACAGTTCTAATGTTAATAAAAAAGTGATACTCTTAACCAAAACCAAAAAAAAAGTAATTTTGACAAAAAAAAGTGACAATGTTAACCAAAAATGTGTATTTATTTATTTTAAATATAAAGTTACTATAATCTCAACTTTAGTTTAATAAAAACCTTAGTTTAATAAATGATGATGATTTAAAATCTCTGGGTAAAAATAATTTTGCAACTTCATCTTCTTCGTCGTGTGAGTTTTTTTTTTTTTTTTTATGAATTTATAATAATCTCAATCTTAGTTTTAATAAATGATGATGATTTAAAATCTCTTTATTTAGGGATAAAAATAATTCCGCAACTCCATCTTCTTCTTTCTCATTCTTCTTCGTCGTCTGAGTTTTTTATTTTTATTTTATGAATTTACTATAATCTCAATCTTAGTTTTAATAAATGATGATGATGATTTTATAATCTCATTGTGATAAAAACAATTCTGGAACTCCATTGATCTTTCTCCTTTTTTTTCCCTGTTTGAGTGATTTTTTTTTTAATGAAAAGGCCATCTTCTTGGTCTGAATTTTTTTTAAAAAAATTTGTAAGACTCGGTAACCGATAAAAAGTTATAGGCTTGATCAACGGTGGAAGTTCTTCATCAGTTGTGAACCGTTCATTTTTGTTTTTTGATATCATATCGAAGAGTGGATTTTGTACTTTAGTCAAACCCTTTTACTTAAAGACAAAATATGACATATATTATAATTATTTAACTTATTTTCACCCAAAGAATCTATATTTGTTGTTTATTTATTTATTTAAATTTTTTAAAAATAATTCTTAATTATATATAATCATAACTAACAATATAATTAATATATTAACAATTAATTTTTATACGAATTGTCACAATACTCAACCCTGTAGATATTGTGAAGAACTAATAAGATAAAAACACAATACTCAACCCGTTAGATATTGTGAAAAACTAATAAGATAAAATATTTTCACCAATAACTATCTAGATATTGCTGGATATTTTTGTTTTCAATAAGGTCAGTAATAAACCTATTTACATCAATTCAGAAAGGCTTTAATGTCAAAATATTTTTTTCCTATCGTGGGTTAAGAGTGTGTTTGAATTGACTTAAAAAAAAATATTTTTTTGACTTTTGACTTATCATAAGTGTTTTCATAAAAAAAAAAATAGTGTTTGAGTTAACTTATTATAACTACTTTTAAAAAAGTGAAAAGGGAAAATTTTAACCACACCCCCTGTAATTTATCATATCTTCAAGGACACCCCTCTAGTTTTTGAATCTTTAATGATACCTCCTGTCAGATTAAAAATATTAAATAGAATGTAATTTTACTAAATTGCCAATGATATATTTGAGGGCAAACTTCATCCACACTCCCTTTAGATAAACATATTTTCAATGAGACCCCTCTAGATAAGTATATTTTCAATGAGACCCCCTCTATTTTTTAATTTTTTTTACGTAATTAAATTCAAATCGATTAAAATTTGATTCAAACTAATTAAAATTTATTTTTTTACATATTAAAATTTGTGCCAATTAAAAATTATATTTTTTTTACGCATTAGAATTTGGACTAATTAAAATTTTGTTTGAGCCAATTAAAAATTATTTTTAATCGACTCAAATCAAATTTTAATTAATTCACATTGAATTTTAATCAGCATAAATTTTAATATATAAAAATATATGAATTTTAATTGACTTAAATTTTAATAAATCTAATTTTAATTGACACAAATTTTAATAAGAAAAAAATATAAATTATAATCGACTCGAAAGAAAATTTTAATCGGCCCTAACAACTGGGATAGAGTTCAAATCGGCTCAAATTTTAATATGTAAAAAAAAAAATTATAGGCTTGATTTTTATTAAAAAAATTTACTATTCTCTTCATTCCTAAATATCTGTCGTTTATAATTTTTGCACAGAGATTAAGGAAGTTATTAAATAACTCTAATATGAGTAAAAAATAATTACACAAGACTAAATTACCCTTATTCAATACGTATTGGGAAGGAAAAAAATATGAAAGACACTTAGCCTACACTTAATCTATTAAGCAATTATTGAAAAATAGAGATAAGGTTAAATTTGGAAAAAAAATATTTATTATGCTTTGGTTTCATAAAACAACAGATATTATGGAACAAAAAAAATTGTGTAAAACGAAAGATATTTAGGAACAGAGACAGTAATTAGTAAATAAAAAATTAGTATTTACTAATAAATTATTTACTAAAATTGTTATTTATGATTTTTTTTGAAATTTTAATAGTTCAAATTTTAATAAAATTTTATGTAAAAAAATTACTTGAGGTTATGTAGGGGCATTTTTAGTATTTTAGATGAATTTATTTTGTTAAAAATAATAGTTTAATGGTAGGGGTGTTAGTGATGTTTAAATTAAACTAGAAAGGGTGTCATTGAAGATTCAGAAACTAGAGGGGTATTTTTGAAGATATGATAAATTAGAGAAGATGTCATTGAAATTTTTCCTTAATATTTTTAATCTGATAAGGGTATCATTAAAGATTCAAAAATTAAAAAAAATGTCTTTAAAAATATGATATACTACAAAGGGTGTCATTGAGATTTTTCCTAACTTTTTTAGATAAAGTCATCGAGCAAAAGCTATCGGTGCCTTTGTTGGGACTGTTTTTGTCACCTTTTGTCTTGTGTTTGATGTGGTATGTTTGGGCTAACAGTACCATGTACTTTTATTGAGAAGCATATTGATTGGATTGTTGGATGAGTATTTTGATTGGATGGTTGAACTAGCATTTAGATGGTTGTCAGTCCATCAATCAAACTTTTTTTTTACCCTATGAAACAATCATCTCTTTCTCTCTCTGATTTCATTTCTAGCAATTTGTTTTTTTTTTTGTATCAAAATTTAAATTAGTATAAAAAATACAGCGAAAAATAACAGAAATATTAGAATCATCTATTTGTGTCGGAGGAAAAAATATTTTCAAGACAATTTTGTCCTTGTCTTCTGACTGTTAGAAATTTTGCTATTTTACAAGAAGAGAAATGAAGCTCTTTTTCTCTTTCCCTCGTCTCTGCAACCTCTAATACAATTTTCATACGCTGAACATTTTTTCCTCCAGATTGTGAGCAACTTCCATGAACACACTCACTTGTAACACTGCCACTGCCAACTACTGGTTGTGAGCAACTCCCACCTCCTATTCTAATATCTTTTCCTCCAGAAACTTTGTCACTGCCACCAATAGGTAGTGAAGAACTTCCACTGCCATTACCACCTGCTGGATGTGAGTTGCTCCCTGATACTTCATGAGTCTATGACAAGTAAAGATACAATTTTCGCTAGAGCTCAAAAAAATAATGTAGCAAGATTTGGAATGATAAAACACAAGTATGGTACCTTCGTTTTAAGTTTGCCTTTTCCAATTTTGGATTTTTTTGACTGGTGCTTTACACGTTCTGGAATTGTGTCCATAACTGAGGCATTTCCTGCACATAAGAGAGTGTTGTCTCTTCCTTATCACATTGTCAAATAGTCCACCATGATAATTCTCCAGCGACAAGCAACTAGTAGCCAACAACAAAACATATAAACATAGGAATTTCTGTTAATGGGAACCCTTTACATTGATATTCACATGCATTGAACTATATATTGCCTCACATAACAGCGACAACCCACTGACCCACATGATTTCCACAAAAATTTTACTTTTCAATAAACTAATACAGCAAAAGGTGACAAAAAAAATCTATGATTCATCCATTATAGCAAACAAAATACACCCCATGTGTGGACCCATCATGCACAGATGTGAACCCAAGCGACAAAAACCCCATGGACAAAAAAATTGCATCATAACTTACCTATGACGTTGATCGCAGCTACTCAGGACTTCAATTGGCCTTGTATATATATTCTGTACCTCAATTGAATACTTCAAGCATTTGTCTGTACCTCAATTGAATACTTCAAGCATTTGAGGACTTCAACCATTTCAAGCCTTCAAGCATCGCAGATACTGGTGTGGGGTGGTTTGAGAGAGTGGATAAATGTTTTTACATCAAGCAAAAAAATCTAACTATGGTTAATGTCTTAGCGCCATTTCGTTACCATGGTTGAAGGGTTTTTTGGGAAATTCCTCTATTTGACGACCCTCAGCCTACTTTTTCATTTTGACACAAGAAGGAGACAAATTTCTGAAAATGAAACCACCAGGAGTTGATTGCTACATAGGGTATAGTTGGAGGAGGCAAATTATAATTAAACCTTTTTAACTTTTTTGATAAAAGTCATCAAGCGATAGCTATCATTTTGTGACTTCGATGACAGGAAAATCTTCCTCTAATTAGTGAGTTGTCGTGATATACCTTTCGTTCCTAACAGTCACAGCCGTTGGTCAATTATAAATTCTCCTATAAAAAGGTTTGAACTGAAGGCATCAATAATCTAAGTCTCAGTCCCGAGTGAAGTAACTCTCTCTCTCTCTCTCTCTCTCTCTCTCTCTATGCGTGTATGCATATATATGAGTAATTGTGTGTCCAGGAATGAAGCAAATCTCTCTGTCTATCACACACACACACATACACAGTTTCTCTAGACTTTGTTGTGTTGTAGTAATAATAGTATATTCTCTCTCTAGCTATTTCAATTTCACCTACACAACGGAAAAGAAGTCTCTGAGGTTTCTCTCGCCCAAACCCCAGTCGTGCACTGCACGCTACTGTTATGGGGCTTTGGAGTCACTGTGCCGTCTATCCATTAACGGAGTTTTAAGCCCAAATATGCTGATTATATATGTTTTCATCATCTTCTTCTTCATCATCATACTGACAAATTGACTTTATTGATCCATCTTCTTTTGTCCAGAATTTGGAGCAAATGGAACCCGAATTACTATGCCTTAGAAAAAGGCTCACCAATTCCGATGTTCAGCGTAACTTAGAGATACCAAATGGGGCGCCTTTTCTGCCAGCCCGGAATGAAGTCATGCTTGTACGTGACAAGGAGGGAAACATTTTTCAATTTAGAGCTAAGGTGAGGCGAGGAGGTAGGCGTTCTCTGACATACCAGTGGCGTCGTTTCGCAGTGGACAAGAGCCTTAAAGTCGGTGAATATCTCAGAATTTCTCGCTCAGGGAATGGAAATGAATATGTCGTGGAGGTGGGCTTGGAACTCTTTCCACCCCACATAGGTTGGGAAGTACTGTAAGTGGAAAGAAGAGTACTATTAAAAATTATGTAAATTTTAAGGTTAGTCTTGAAGGGTTACTGACTCACTCTACCCATAATCAATTATGGATCAAATACTGCCTTGGCTATGTATATGTCTAATCGTTCATCTGCTTATGGCAGCTGAGGTCGCAGGAGAATAAACATTGAAAAGATCCACTTGGACTTAAATGATGATTTTTGTTTTACAAATGTTTTAGATAATTATTATTTGTGTTGTTGATTGTCAAGATATATACAAAGGTGCACTTTTGTGCACGAAGAGTCTATATATATTTATATATTTAATTTTTTGATTTAATGATGTGACTTTATTAGAATTATTGGATTAATATTAAATCTCAATGTTTGATAGACCTACTGTCAATCTAAAAGTTATAATTAATTAGATTAATAAATTAAGTCTCAATAACATTGTTCGTTTGTATATAGAAAGAATGTTGTTTTACTAGTGTAAAAATCATTTAGCCATTTATGAACCACAAGACCAGAAAATTTTGGGTAATATATATGAGCAATGCTATTAGATCTAATTTAATGACATAATTTAATGATTTAATTTATCGTAACTTTTGGATTCAATGTAAATCCCATCAAACATTAAAATTTGGTGTTGATCTAATAATTTATGTGAAGCCACGTCATTATGTTAATAAATTAAATTAAAATTTTAAATTCAAATAATATTACTCTATATATACATATATTATATACTGCGAGTACAGACTTTTTTTAAAAAAAAAGATGCAGACTTTTTCATCACCTCGAATGAAAGCTATAGTTTGAACCATCAAGAGTCGTTAAGTTCATTGAAAGACTTTTTCACCCACGAAGCCTAGAAAGTAAATTAGGATATTTGGAGTGAAGAAGTCTTCAAAAAACTTACATTGAGCTTGGATTCTTTTACAAGTAAAGGTGCTTTACACGTGTAAGAACAAGGAAAGAGAAGACTTTTGTGAGTTTCTTTCTCTACATTTCTCTCTCTCTCTCTCTCCAAAAAAATCCACTGAAATTCATGGGACTTGGAAGAAAAATCAGAGAAGCTTTCTGGGTCAAATGAGCTCCACATAGATTCCCCCTCGTGATGATTTGATTTTACAGATAAGATGCAAAAAAGCCCAGCATTGTAGAACTATAAGCCTACGGCAGGCGGGCGCAGCTCCTCTGCTGTTGGAAAAAGCCTGCACAGAGTAAAAAACAATCCCCAAAAACAACCCATTCAAGCCTTTCTCCATATTAGGTCTCTTCACTGGTATCCACACTTGGGCGTCCCATGCCATTTAAAAAGAAAACAAAAGGTCACAGTCATATTTGAAGAAAAAGAATAATTAATTGAGGTCATCAGTCAATAACAGGCGATGAAAGTAAAAATGGTCAAAATCGTAGAAAACGGTGACTATAAATGGACATATGGGAAAAGGACATATGGAAAAAGTACATATGGGACTTGTTTGGTTGTTATATTTAAAATGGATGAATTTAATAAAATAATTAATCTAATACAATATAGATGGATAAAAACCAAGATTAAATATGATATTAGAATAATACGTAATTTTATCTATTGTTTGACAATACACAATATAAGCATTAGATAGTAGTTATTTAATCTAATCGGTTATTTAGTTAGAGAATTATTTAATCGTATTAATGTTGAATTTACAAAAATACTCTCAATCAGTGTTTGTTATATTGATGACAACTTAATTTTATCACTTGGAAAATTATAATAGTAAATGTGTAAAGTAATACGTTTGAGTTGAATTATAACATCACATTTCTTGATGATATCGTATGAAAAATATACGATAAGTGTATGATTAATATATATTTTTAAAATTAATACGGTATCAAATTTGATTAACAAACAAAGTATTAAGCCCGGTTAAATAAGAAATAGTACAATCCAATATTTAATCCCCTCATAATACATCTACTAAACGAGCCTATAGTAGAGAAGATGAAGGATACACTCAAACTCTCCCACAAGACTCACGATCTGAGCATTTTTAGGAGTAATTTTTGACTATTTTTTAGAAGGTAATTATTGATGCAATCTAGGCTGTTTATTCGGTCTATCTATAACTGAAGGTCTTTCAATTGAGTTACTAAAAGAATTATTTTTTATTAGTTCCCTATTCTGTGTGTTTGTTCTTTATTTCTCATCCAAAGAAATTCTGAAACAAGGCATTGAAACAACTTACAAACAATCGCCTGAAATTGTTTGACGATTCGGATATCTTTATCAATTCCAACAAAATTTGGAGCAACAACATTAAAACTCAAAACAAGTTCAGAAGGACACAAAAATAACACTTAAAACAGTCTATTCCACACAAAGCACAATTCAAGTCTATATTAAAAAACAAGAGATATTAGGTAGGACCTTGCCTATTCAAACAAATCTGAAAATAATCTAAAGCAATGGAGAATATTCCGTCATAATACAAGGGGTACGTATAATCACTAAAAAATTTTGTCCCCATAAATTTGGCTTATTCTTTTTTCTTAGTTGAAGCAGGGTTATACACACCTTGTTGAACCATCTATTGAAGTTTTCTTGAAGATTCACCAACCCTTAACTATTGAAAATCTCAGTCGCCGTCTCATCAATTCATTCCTCATGCTTGCTAATGAGGATGCCAGCTAACAAAATTGAGCATTTTGATTGGATGGTTGTCAATGTCATCAAGCTTTTTTTTGATAAACATCAAAGCTATGGCTGTCATTTTGTGTCATTTTGTGACTTCAATGCAGGATAACAGGAAAATGAAGGCCAGCAAGTCCATAAACCATAAAGCAAAAGGATTAGATACATATTTTCTTTGCTTGGTATTTGGGTGGCCGAAAATGGGTGGCCGAAAATGTGAGTACACTCCACGCTTGTAAGAAGGAGAAAAAACGTTTGCTTTAGTACGGACTGTACCCGAAAGAAGAGGTAGAAAATAATGAGGCAAATTTGACCCACACGAGGTCGGTGTACTGCTACCAGTGTGATTTGTAAGGAGCCGTCTTCTTACCCATTTGAAGTTGGAAAAGCTCTAGGCAAGGCAGATCTTTCAGGTGCAGGGAACAAACTAAGACACTTTTCAAAATCAGTTGTTTATTTTTTTTTCACTTGGAAAGATGGTTTGATTTCTAAAATAATAATAATAAAAATTGATAGTTTAGGATCGATCATAAATGATCTCATTTTATCATAATTTCGTCCCGTTAATCCTAAACTCATTTTTCTTTTGTAAT